ACACACACACACACACACACACACACACACACACACACACACACACACACACACACACACACAAGCAGGGACACATACATACACACAGGCAGAGATACACACACAGAAGAGGCAGGCACACACAGACAGGCAGGGACACACACACAGAAGAGGTAGGGACACACACACACACACACAGGCAGAGATACACACACAGAAGAGGCAGGGACACACACAAGGACACACACACAGGCAGGGACCCCCCGCCCCCGCGTCTGGCGGCACCCACCTGCTGGCTCAGTCTGTTGGGGGCGCTGGCGGGGCACGCGGGCTCGCGGGGGTTGAGGCAGGGCCGCTCCACGTAGGCCTGCCCCACCTGCGCCTTGTCCAGCAGCTCCCGGAAGCCCTCCAGCGAGGTGAACTGGCCTAGCTCCTCCAGCAGCTGCACGGGGTCCAGGTTTGTCCACTGGATGTCCGGCCGCCCCCTGGCGAAACAGGAGCAAGCGCCCAGAGGGTCAGGGCCCTGGACGAACGTCTGGTGATGTGGCCGGGCGGGATCGGGGCCCCCTGCACTGGGCACCTGCCCTCTGGCCATGCCCAGGCTAGTAACGCAGGAGGGTGCCCTCTCGCGGGCCAGGCGGCAGATGGCTGCACACAGGGCTGGTCCCCAGCCACCCAGAAACCTCTGTCCCCAATCCCTGGGTCCCTGACAAACGCCCCTCTCCCTGCGCCCAGGACTCCCCCCTACCCGCTGCAGGAGGGACTAGGGAAAGGGTGGGGTGGGAGCTGTAGCAATGGGGCTGTGAGGATTTGCCAACCCCCTCCCCCCCGTGGGGCTGTGACAGGCCCCTTGCCCCCACCCCCACCCCTTTGCAAGGCGTCTGCCCCCAAAGCCGGCACCAGATGCCAAGTCAAATAGCATGGCTGATCCTGTTACACGCCCCCGGCCCAGCGCTGCTCCCGGCCCCTCCTTTGTGCCGCCAGTCAGGGCGATTAGCGCCCGCGCCCTGACGTCTTGATAGAGGGGAGCAGGCCGCTGGGCCGGGGCAGGCGGGGGAAAGCGAGAACCGACTGCAAACTGCCCCCCGGGACCTCCCGCCCCGTTCTGTCCCCCCCTGCAGTCCCCACTTCTCCTGGGCCTCCCCCCATTCCTTGCCCCCCAGCTGCTGATGGCGCAGAGAGGATGTAGCGGGCACAAGGGGACAGCGACTGGCACCTGCCGCTGACATTTGCTTTACAAGCGGGGCAGTGGGGTCCAGTGGGGAAGGAGCTTCTTGGCTCTGCTGCTGACCTGCTGGGTGAGTCCCTTCCCCCATGCCTCAGTTTCCCTCCCACCCTGCGCCAGCCTCTTCTACACAGCGTGTAGGCTGCTTGGAGCAGGGGCTGCTTGCTGCCATGCGTGTGACCTCCCCCCAGCCCCGCCTTGCTGAGGGCAGCCCAGAGCGCATGCCAATGCCCCCCTCTCCCCCTGCACACGGGGAGAGGGCTCCAACCCATGGGCACGAGCGCGGTGGCACAGCCAGGCCCCAAAGATCCCTGGGAAATCACAAAGGGCGGGGGAAGAGCTGGTCCCCTGAAATGCATGGGAGCACCGCGCTGCCTCCCACCCCTGGCCACGCCCTGGGGGGACGGCGTGGGCCCGGGGATGGCCTGGCTCCTCAGCCATCTCCTCACTGTCCCCAGACACAGGGACCCAGCAAAATGCCATTCACTGAAGCCGCCTGGACCCCCAGTGCAGACCATGGGCATGGTCCCAGCCTGCTCCCGGCAGCCCCCCCAGACCGGCTGAGAGCCCCGTCCATCTGGGCTGGGCACGGGGTGAAGGGGGAGCAGCAGGGACCCGCTAGCGCAGGGGCTGCAGGTAGGCAGACCAACAGGAATCCAGCACCCCCTGGTGTGCAGGCAGGAAGTGGGGCACGTCTGAGTGGAGGAGGGGAAGCAATGCCCGGGGTGGAAGGGCTGTTATCAACCCCTCCCTCTCCCAACAGCCTGGCCGCTCACCCCATCCTCTGCCCCGGATCAGGCCCGGGCCAGCTGCCATCCATGCTGTAAAGTAACACCGCGCCAGCCCTGGGATCTGCTGGTCGCCTGGCCCCCACGGGATGGGCCGAGGGAACCCGGCCCGACACCCCCCCCAGCACCGCACGGGGGGCTGCGAACCAAACCTTCGACCCACAGGGCCTGAGAGAGACAGGCCAGGCTAAGGGCACGGCCCAGCGGGACAGGGGCACTCCGCAGAGGGGGCGCCAGCCACACGTCAGCGCCCAACGGACTTGGCCAGCCCGGAGGGACTTCGGCGGCCATGGGGCTGAGGCACAGGGCAGATGGCAAGCGAGAGCTCTGCATAGCTTGTGTAAGTGACACGCCTGTGGGGGGGTTAGGCGGGAAACGTCTCGGAGGCGAGACGCAGGGAAGGGCGACCCGGGCGTCTCCACAAGCTCGGGGAAGAGCGAGCCGGCGAACACACCCCAGAAGGATCTAGCCGGGAGCGACTCCGACTGCGGGGCCGGCTTCCGAGGGCAGGGTGGAGCCCCCTCGCCAGAGACGCTGGCCCGGCCCCAGAGGTTGGCCCGTAGGGAACAACCCTGCACTGGCAGTTGGGGATGGGCGTGGTGGGGCCAGACCCCGGCTTCCTCTTCTATGGCCCTGTGGCTAGAGGTGGGCCCAGCCACCGAACGATCGAACTAGCACTAGCCCTGGCCAATGGGCACCAGCCACCCTATGGCCCTGATCTCGGGCTGGCAGAAGCTGGGGTCTCCTGTGCCAAGGACTCGCCTCCTGCTTTGGTCGTGCAGCTCGGTCCGGCCGTGCCGGCTGGCGGGAGGAGGGCACCATGGGCCCCAGCCTCTACATCTGCTTGCTCCAGCTTCCAGCCGGCCGGGCCCAAGGGATTCCAGCGCGTCGGGGAGGATCCGGAGCCGGCCTTTCCTTGGACACGCCAACGCCCTGCCAGGCTCTTCCCAGTGCCCACGGGACCGGCAGCAAAGCAGAGGACGCTGTCTGCAGCCCCGGCCCCACCTCCTGCTCCAGGAGCTGTGCTGAGCCCGAAGCCGCAGCTCCATCCCCGGGCTTGCCGGGAGAGGGGGGAAGGAGACAGCTTTCCACAGCGCGTTCAAACGCTGGGCAGGGGCCTCAGAACCGCCGTGGCTAGGCCAGGCGAGGACGTGGCAGAGATCCCGGTGGGGGAGCTGTTCCCAGTTCCTGCAGACGGCCACACACCCGCACGGGGTCCGAGCCCGCAAGCACCGAGCGCCCTCTCCACTCGCAGCTTCGGCCCCTGAGTAGATCCTGCCTGACGGGCGAAGGGCGTCTCTGGGCCTCGGCTCTGGCCTGCCCTCCGCTGTATTTCCTCTGGAGCCCACGCAGGAGCAGGAAGCCGGGATGGCAGGGTCCGTGCCGGCTGGCAGGGGCCCACGTCGTGTCGGGCGAGTTCTCCTTTCTCATAAAGGAACGAAGGAAAGAAAAACGAGCTCCGGGAGGAGAAAGGAAGAGCGAGATGAGGCGGAGAAGAGCTGGGCATGGGGCAGAAACTCACTGCAATAATTCACGGCGGCTGGCTCGGAACTGGGCTAGCGCTTTGAGCTTCCCACATACCAAACCGCGCTGCTGCCGCTGCCAGAGAGCTCCTTTATCTGCTGCTTCTTGCTTCACTGAGCCAAGCCGGCCCCTTTTGTTTTCCCAGCGATGGCTGCGCTTTGTTCCCCCTCTCGCGGTGGAAGGGGGAAGAGAGACCCCCTCAGCTGGACTGAAGTGGAAGCCGGGGCAGGGGGAAAAGATGGGAGATTTCAGCCCCTCCGCACTGAGACCCGTTCACGTTCAGGATTGGGAGAGAGATCCCCTTTCCCTCCGGCCCAGGGGCTGGGCACAGGGGCAGAAAGGAAGGAAGGAGTGAGGAGCCGGGCCTGGAAGAGGGGTGATCTCACCCCGGCTGTGCCTGCTCCCCGCTCCGCTGACAGCTTCGGAGTGCGACCACAAGATCCCCTGTTACCGGCCGGGGTGCTGTGGCTTCCCGGCAGACTCTGACCCCCGGCATGGCAGATCACAGCTCCCCGGCCACGTTTTCCCCTGCCTCCAGCACCCCCTCCTTTTGCCACCCATCCCAAAGTCAAGGGGGCGGGTGGAGTGGCCCAGGCTTTGGGGGGGTTGTTTTACAATCCTTCCCTCCCTTTATCTGCTAGGGTTTGAAAGCCCCCAGCCCCCCTTCTCTCCCGCTCTCGTGGGGCAGCAGGCTGAATACCACCACTATTTCATTTGTTGGGCAACTGGCGGCTTTCAGGCGGCATTAGCATGAGAATGCGGGCGCTGCCGTTTGCTGACAAAGGGCCTCGCAGACAAACAGCCGTGTAAACAGAAAGAATGCCAAGTATTGTTCCCCACCCGCCTCCAGACTCCCCCATGCACCCTCGGAGAAACCTGAGGACCAGCCGGGACAGAGGCGTCAGGGCCCACGACCTGGCAGTGGAGCCCAACGGGGGCTGCTCCGGCAGCTAATGCACCCAGCTGGGAGCTGGGGTCTCCTGCCGGCTCTGGCACTGAGCCGCCAGCCGACCTTGGCCAACTCTCCCCACCTCAGTTTCTATGTCTGTATAACAGGGACAGCGACACTGACTGCTGACATTCGTCCCCCTCTCCGAGGTGGGTGACTATCGGTGTCCCCACGTACAGGTGAGGAAACCGAGGCACAGGGCAGCACCGCAACTTGCCCAGTGTCACTCAGGGAGGGAGTTGTGGAGCCAGGAACCCAGGAGTCCTGCATTCTGCTGCTCACTCGCAGGGAGGCTTAATTCAAATTCGTGAATAGTGCCTGCGAAACACTCGGGGGTCTCGCAGCCTCTGCACCACCCATCCCTCCAGGGGCAGCGCCAACAGGGCTGGCACACGGGCTGGGCACCGAGGAGCATCAACTCAGCTACACAGCACGGTGCCCCCAGCCCAGGGCCACAGCCTGCACCGTAACCAGGAGGCACTTGGCCCTGCATCACCCGCCAGCCTGACCCATACACAGGGTCACGACCATGCCCTGCCCTGGGGGGAGATCACACGTCTGAGCAGTGAGGGTGCGACCCCCTGCTGGGCCTGCTGCCCTCTGAGGAGCCACGGGCCAGTCCAGGAGCAGATGGAGACATCGCACAGCCTGGTGGGCAGTAACCCTGCCCACGGGGTTGGGCCTACGTGCCCGGGGACTATCGCCATGGGGTGCCCAGCTACTGGAGGGCACTACGGCTTCCCACAGCCTGGATCTGGGGAGGCCCCTGAGAGGGGAGAGGCTGGCTAGGACGCCCAGTGCCCAGGAGCCACCTCATGAGCTGGGGGGCACTCAGAAAAGGGCCGGGGGGAGGAGGAGGGCTGTAAAGGGGGCAGCATGCACAGCTGGCTGAGTGGCGGTCAGGGCCCGTGCGAACAGTCTCGAAGAGCCGAGCGGGCACCGACCCCGGTGGGCAGAGAGAAGAGTCCTGCACTGACTAGCTCCTGCAGGGTGGTACCGGCACGCCAGGGACCCTGGGCGCTGGTGCAGTAGCTAATTGGCAAGCAGTAACTGGGCAGAGCTGGGCACGTGCGCCGCCCCACCGATACCCCGCCAGCCCAGCCGGGAGCCCGCAGGCAGACCCCACTGGGAAAGGGGGACCCAGCCCCTCCCGCAGAGCAGCAGGGGGAGGGCACTCACGGGAGGTAGGCGGAGCCTCCTTGCAGCTTGGCGCCATCCCAGAAGCAGTCCAGCGGGGTCAGGATCACGCAGGGGAAAAGCTTCTCGATCATCTGGGGGAGGGGGCGACACAAGGGGAGGGATCAGAACCACAGCAGACGCACCATCCCCTGCCGGATCCCCTGCGGCACTATCACCACCTCCCGCACGCTTCTTCCACTGCCGGCTCCGGCCCCCACCTCTCCAGCCCCGGCTTCTCTGCAGCTCCAGCAGCCTCCCTGGGACCGTCCCGCTACGCAGAGCCAGACCCTGCCCCCTCGCCTCTCTGCGCTGCACACAGCCAGAGCAGGGCCAGGCCTGGACCTCGCACTGGGGCCAGACAAGCTCTGGATCCAACCCAGCCTTTTCCCATCGCCACCGGCCCTGGCAGCCACCGGGCCATGGAGAGCGAGCGCCCCTCGTGCCCCATGCTCTCTGACCAGAGCGTGGGGCCAGCCGCCCTGCAGCGTGGGGCCCAGGCAGCAGGACGTCAGTGATTTCCCGGGCACTTCAGGGCAATTCCCGCCGCGCCGGGCCGGTCCCAGGGCCTCACCCGCTCGATCATGCCGTTCTCAATGATGGGGACGCCGGACTTGTAGCAGATTTTGTTCAAATCCCAGGATCTGGGAAAATAAGCAGAGAAATGAAAGGAAGGTGAGAATGGCGGAGGGAGCTGTACGGTGCTGGGCATTGGGGGGGCATCAAGAGAGACAGGGTCATTAGGAAGAGTTAGGAGGGGCAGGGTGTCAGGAGGGGCAGGGGGCTGGGGCATCAAGAGGGGCAGGCAGGGTGGAATCCAGACCCTGGGACCCCCATGACCCGCGGCCTTTTTGCGTCACACTCACTTTCCATACAACGAGACTTGCACCTTGCTGGCCGCCAGCGCCACCTCGAGGTGCAGCTCCAGCGCCTCCTGGGTGAGGACGTTCTCCCCTTCCTGTTTCGGGGTCTGGATCAGCATTTGGGACGTGTAGACGGATTCTTCCCCCAGCTTCTCTTTCGTGTACCTGAGCTCCTGGCTGACACGGCTGCCGGCTGGGGAGAGAACGAGAGAACGCCAATTAACGCACCGCCCCCGAGGTGGCTGGGGACCCTCCCGGAGCCAGCTCCCCCCAGTGGACGCCCCCTGGAGATGAGACTGGCTGGAGCTCAGCTCTGCACAGAGCACTTGAACGAGGGGACACCCAACGAAATGAGGAGGCAAGAAATTAGAGAACATGTTTTTACACAATGTAAAATTAACCCGTGGAACTCCCTGCCACAGGATATCCCAGAGCTCAGCAGGGGATCAGAAGTTTCTATGGCTCCTGAGACCTGCTGGGCCTACAAATTTACCCCAATTGTGAGCTCAGCTGTAAAAAGTTCATCAGATGTTACAATAACCTAAAATAACCAACATGGGTGAGCAAAGATCCGAAAGGGCGACAGAAAAACCGACTTAGTCTAATCCAAAAGGCCAAGCTGACATCACTCAAGGACTGTGCTGAAATGAACAGGCGATGTGCAGCCAGAAGTTAATGTGCCAAAGTTGATATGTCCGATATTAGGCCTAACTGGTGGACAAAATCATGAGGGGCTGGGCTGGCCCTTGGTGGGGCCTTAAAGAAAGTGATTTTGTCTGGAAAGACACAAAGAACAGACAGAGGCTCCTGGCGTGAGCTCCACCATCGTAGCTGCCACCCACACTGCCTCCTGGGGCCCCGGGCCTTTGTCACACTGATCCCGAGACGTGTCCTGACCAGAACAGAGAGAGACGGACTCCGCCAACGTTGCCACCCCATCGGCTCCAGCCGTATCCCAGACGCCAGCTGAGGGGACCGTTCCGACCATCTGTGAGACCATCTAAAGCGACGGTCAGACAAGGGGGCCTTTCCTTCTACGGATGGGCTCCCGTTGATAGGAGCGGCTGCAAGCCGTAGTTTATCTTTGGCATTTCAAAGGCTTTCGTGGTTTTCCCTTTAACGAAAGGTTAGAAGGGTTTTAAGGGTGCGTTTGCCGTGGCACGAAGAGGGCTGAGTCTCTGTCTACCAAGGCCCGGGGTTTGTTTACCCCTGGACAATGACTGCATTACGTTATGGGGCACCTCCCGCATACACCAGAATAGAAACAGAAGAGGAAGCAAACCCCCCCACACCCCTCCCTGGCATGTCCTGCCCGAGCCGCCCCGTGAGCAGGGTTATGCTGCACGCACCCTGTGAACAAGGCACCCCACCGGTAAATACGGACACACGTGTTTGTTTTCTCAGCACCTAGCCCATGACTGCGGTTTGGCCAAACCCACTCGACACCTGAAAACCCCCTGGAGATGCCGCCCTGGCTGGGCAGGATGTCTGGGAACGGACTCGATTCTCAATTCAGCTGTGCTGTCACGTTCCTCCCGCTCATCGGGTGCCCCAAGCCGAGACCCACCCACCCTTCCTGCGCTAACACAGAAGTGGGGGAGCCGTGGGACCCTCCATTCAAAGCAAGAGGGACGGGCTCGGAGCGATGGGCTCTTCTTCCCACCTAGTTGGGACCAGCCGTGGGGTTTCTGTAACGCACTGCACGCTCTCTGGGGCAGGGAACTCTCCTCTCCAGGGTGGGGCCCGGAGCTGGCTAGCCTCTGCACACTGAAACAAACAAACTTTAATTCCTTCTTTGCTGCTCATTAGAGAAGTCAGACTGGCCCGGAGGTCACGGCGTCAGGAATCTGCCAGCCACTGTGACTCGGCTGGGCCAGTCCCTCTGTGCAGGGAAGGGGCACGCTGCGGGTTTGACCCGAATCTCCCTCACGCTCGTTACAAATTTCAATCCACTGACGGCAGCTGGATGCAAAACGCAGACAGCCCACTCCAGCGGGTGGCTGGCACCCCGGGCACACTAACTTCCTTTGCCAGCTTTGAGCCTGAGGGCACGTGGGGAAGAATTTCTGAGCTACCAGCCTGCATTTCAGGATGGCGTCAGGCTGCCCTTGCTCCGCAGCGAGGCGGACAGAGGCTGGGATGGCGGCACCGGAGCTGCTCAGACATCCTCTTCGTTTTCCATTCGCTGCCCCTCAGTTCTTCTCAGCTGGGCGGCTGCCAGTTGCCTATTACGCCCTGCACAGGGGCTCAGGGCTGCAGCAGGGAGAGATGCCTCTCCCCAGCACCGATCTGCCGCGCCGGGGAGAGGGGCCCACCCCCCCCCCGCCCCAGCACCACCCTGCCGCGCCGGAGAGAGGGGCCTACCCCTGCCGGTCCCAGCACCAACCTGCCGCGCCAGG